GTTTTGATAGTGACGAATTTGTAGCTCTAACTAGTGAAAGCGGCGAAGACTGCTATGAATTAAGTACACGGTTAGTAACCTAATATAACTTTTTTGTGTGACTGGCCATGCATTTACATATTAAAATAGCTAAATTTATAAGCCTTTGAAAAGTTTTTTAAAAAGATTTTTACTTTTTAATATTTAAACAGGAAGAAGAGGCGCTTTAATTTAACCAGAACTGCACTAGAATGTTCCAGAACTGCACTAGAATGTTCCAGAACTGCACTAGAATGTTCCAGAACTGCACTAGAATGTTCCAGAACTGCACAAGATTCTAAACAAAAAATTGTTGAAGAAGCTTCTGGAAACAATGCCAATAATGTTTATGTAGCACAAACTGAAAAAAGTTCTGAGATAGACATGAATGTACAACCTACGAATGATGCTGAACTAGTGACAAACAAGTAATCCAAATATGCAGTGTTCCCCCTCGATCACCCTCTAAATCTTAAATATATATTTTTTTTATTTATGATTTGTTTTTTTAATAAAAATTTCATCTCAAAAGTGATTTCGACATTAAAACCTACTATTATATACAAAGTGAACCATTTTAATCATTTAAGAACGATTTAATTAGTATATGATTATATACTAGAGATACTATTATCGACTAAGTAATAATACTCTTCTAGGGATCAAGTTCAACAAACATTTAAGAAAAAATTCCGAAAACGAATATCTAAACCTAAAACCTGGGGATGTAATAAAAAAAAAAGGCATATCAAGCTGGTAAAAATTATACAAGTCAAAGAGGAAAACAAGTACTAAATAAGATTATTCAAACAAAAAAAAAACTGTCTGGCAAACTGTAAGTACGAATGTGCTAAGAAAATATCAGAAGATGAGCGAATCGATATTTTTTCCTCATTTTATGCCTTAAATTCAGCTACTGAAAAGAGGCATTTCTTTGTTACTTCGACTGATCGCACAACCACTGCTAGACCAAAAAGAAACCACGAGGAAAACAATGATAGTGATACTGCAAATAAAGAAACTGATAACTACGCTGAAAAACAAGTTTTTCCAAAAAGGAAGTACGCCTATAGATATTTTTTTCATGTAAAAGGTGAAAAAGTCCGTGTTTGCAAAACATTCTACTTAACTACACTGTCCATTTCACAAAAACCAGTTTACACAGCTCACAACACCAAAGATATTAAAACAAATACTCCTGCACAAGATCTACCAGGTAAAATTATGAAAGGCAAACGTACACCGCATAGTGATGCCAACTCAGCTAGGGATCACATAAAATCTTTTCCAACAGTTGAGTCACATTACTGTTGTGTAAGTACCAATAGAGAATACCTTGAGTCACACCTTAATGTTTTAAAAATGTATAATCTTTACAAAGAGAAATGTATAAACAAAAATATTGAGCCAGTAAAAAAATCTATGTACTACCATATTTTCTCAACCGAATTCAATCTTAGTTTTCACATTCTCAAAAAGGATAGATGTGACCTTTGTGAGAAGTTTTAAGTTGCTGAAAACACTGATACTATGTCTGAAAAATTGAGAGAAGACTTTGAAAGACATCAAGTTTTTAAAAAAGAAATGAGAGATATACGTTCTAAAGAGAAAAAGGATAAAAATTGTCCTGTTTTACTTTTTGACCTTCAAAATGTTATTTTGACTCCGCATGCAGAAATTAGTTCCCTTTTTTATCTGAGAAAGCTTAGCGTGTATAATTTGACAGCTTATTTTTCAACAACCAAAAAAGTGTATTGTGCATTATGGACTGAATCAATGGCGAGAAGAAGCAACAATGATCTTGCCAGTGCCTTTTGCAAAATTTTGAGTGATGTGGCAGAGGAAAACTAAAAAATAAAAATACTTCAAAATACTCAAAAATATACATCTAAAATCAACAAAAACTAATTTTAGTGCATGGTCTGACTTCTGCGTTTCTCAAAATCGGAACAGTATATTATCAAATGCTGTGTTACACTTTTTAAGTAACAATCCTAACATCGACTCAATCACTATGAAATATTCCGTTCCAGGTTATTCATGCGTCCAAGAGGTGGATTATGCTCATAGCGAAATCGAAAAGCTCATGAGGAAAACTGATTTTTATAGTCCAATTGGATTGATAAGGATGTTGAAACAAGCTAACAGAAAAAATCCTTATCGTATCATTCAAATAAAATCACATGACTTCAAGGATTATGCAGTAACAGCGAAGCTGTTTAATTACAAGTCAGTTCCTTTTTCTAACGTTGCTGCTCTAAAATTTACTCAAACATCTCATATTATACATTTCAAATCTAATCATGATCGCAATGAACCTATGAACTGTGCAAATGTCAAGTTTAATGAAAAACCTAACAGAAAGAATGCAGCAACAAGTCCATCAACTTCCACTATTTTGAATGTAAAACCAAAGATTCAAAATTCTACAAAGGAACTTGCAGACTTAAAAAAAAAAAGATATTAAAACTGCATTTCCGTTTATGCCTCTCGAGGGCAGAGAATACTATCGAGTTGTTCTTCCCCTATAAAATAAACATGAAAAACTTTTAAGGGTTTTAACCCTGTACTTAATGTAATGGTTTTAAAATGTACCAAAAAAATGTAGTATAAAAAAAATAAAAAATGAGTAAAAAAAATGTTGTAACCTTGTTTTGTGACTGAAACAATAATCTAATTTATGAAAATTAGCTTTTTATTATATTATTGTTTCAGTTACAAAATTTAAAGTAACTAACAGCTTCAGTCACAAAGTTTCAAAGTAACTAACATGTTTCTAACTACCGTTATAACAGCAGTTAGAACCTTGTCATAGTGAGAATATGATTATTTCACTATGACTAGGTTCTAACTGCGTTTTGGGGGTATTCATTTTTCTATAAAGAGTGAAACATTTTTTAATAAAAAATAGTAATACTTATAGCAAATGTTTATGTTATCATGAGTAAAAAATATTATCAATGAATTTTAATAAATTTTGATGGGAGGAACATAACAATTTTTAACATTGATTTGCTCGCGGAGCAGTTAGACAATTTTTAACATTGAACTATTTTTAACATTGAACAATTTTTAACATTGAACTACTCGCGGAGCAGTTAGAACCTTGTCAAACCAACGCGACGATATAGTACCATTTTATTAACATTTTTAGTGTAACAGGTTGTAATTTAAAATTTCAATAAAAAATAAACATGGTTAAAGGTAAGGATATAAGTCCAAGCAAAATTTCAGAAGTAAAAGCACTTTTACAACATTCAGAACGTTCACAATGGGAAATTGCAAAAATGTGTAAAGTTTCGCAACCTTTTGTCAATAAAATCAAACACAAAATGGAAAACGACATCACTCTTTCTCCAAAAAGGAAAGGACAGACAGAATTATAAGAGATATATGTCTGGAAAATAGAAAAAAATCATCCCTCTTGCTGTCAAAACTTGTTCAGGAGTATGGAATACAAATTTCGGAGCGCACAGTGAGGAGACGTCTGGCTGAAGTTGGTTTAAAATCACACAAACCGGTTAAAAAACCAAGGCTAACTCCAGCAATGATAAAAAAGAGATTGCAATGGGCAAAAAATTATAAGTATATGACTATTGGAGATTGGGAACATGTAAGTTTATCAATTTTGAGTGAAATATTGTTAAAAAAGTGTTTAAATGTTGACATAAACTTATTTACAACCTCACTATGATGATTTTTTCAGGTGTGATTTTCAGACGAATCAATTTTTGAGATCTTGTTGGACAAAACCACCTTCGTCCGAAGAAGACCAAACGAAAAATATCATCCAGATTGCATTGTACAAACTATTAAAACATCCAACTAAAGTTATGATGTGGTCAGTTATCAGTGGTAAAGGCACAGGAAGACTATATATTGTCAATGGGATGATGAATCAAATACAGTATCAAGAGGTTATGGAGAGTCAACTTATCCCCCAAATACAAGAATGGTTTCCAAATAACAATACATTTATGTTTATGCATGATAGTGCTCCATGCCATAAAGCTAAAAGGATCACAAACTTTCTTAAAACAAAAAATATCCCTGTTTTAGATTGGCCAGGGAACTGACCTGAATCCGATTGAGAATTTGTGGAACATTCTCAAAAAGGATATCTCTTCTGAGGTTTCAACAAACAAAAAGGATTTAATTGAAAAATTACTCAATCATTGGCACCACAATGAAAAAATTAAGACAGCAGCAATAAACTGTATTAAAAGTATGCCAGACAGAATAGCTTAAGTCATTTCGTTGAAAGGAGGAATGACAAAATATTAATATTTTTTATGGCTTGCAATCAAAAAGAGTAATTGTTTGTTAAAATGTGTGTATATTGATATTGAAATATTATTTTGTTATTAAGGAAACATGTTTTATCAATAAAATATAACTAATATTGCAATTGTACTTTTTTTATACTTTTTACAAACCCTTCAAGTTAAAAATACACAAAAACTGTAGGTGATCATAATATTGTGGCCAGGTACTGTATATATAAAATACAATGCAGTAGTGGTGTAGTGGTAGAGCGCTCATTTCATAAACGAGTGGTTCCGAGTTTGATCCCCACCACATCCCTGGTAGTACCGCGCTCAACTCATCAAGGTTCGTGTTTCGGAGTTATAGAGTTGAGAGAGGGTTATAACCACAAATAAGTAGCCTCCTCGTCTGTAGTGGCCTTCTCGGCCTTGAGGAGGTGAATTAAATAAAATATATATATATGTATATATATATATATATATATATATATATATATATATATATATATATATATATATATATATATATATATATATATATATATATATATTTATAACATTTAACAGGTCCCTATTATTATAATTTTTTTGCCCCAACTACCATGCTGAGTAGGCAACTAAAGTTAAGAAAGTTATTTTTAAATTGATAACTGTTTAAAGGGACTGACATTTATTTGATGTTTGTATTTAATAAAAAAGTAAATAGGAAAAACTTACCCAAAATTTCTCCGCATCCTACAAGAATTCCCATTAAACCAACTTGTCTATGTGATTCATTTAAATTACTGGTATTGCCTAAAGAATGACATAACATATAAATAAAAATATAAAAATAATTAAATACAGATTTACTTAAAATTTACATAAATATATGCATCCATCAGTAAAGCAACATTTCCTAAAAATAAAGCAGCATTTACTAAAAAATAAAAATACTTCAAAATACTCAAAAATATACATCTAAAATCAACAAAAACTAATTTTAGTGCATGTGTGCACTGTGCAAAAACTAATTTTAGTGCGTGTGCATGGTGTACACACACTAAAATTAGTTTTAAAGCAGTTAAAATCAGTGTTTTGCAAAATACGCATTACAACATTGAAATTTTATTGCATCTACAAACATTAAAAAAGAATTTGAAATAGACAACATATTAAAAGTTAACAAGTTAAAATAAAAATCAAAAGAATCATACTAATGCTAGTTCCATAAACACCACTATAAAATGCCAATTCGAATCCTATAAAAATGAACTTATATTAGATTTTAATAATAGATAATCCATCTAAGAAATTTGAGATTTCTTATGATGGAAACTTTTAAATCTATTAATTGTCTAAATCCAATATTTATGAAAAATCTTTTTACTATAAAAAATCTTACATATAAACTCCGTTGCAGCTAAAAACTCATTCTACCTCCTAAAGGCTCAATATATAATGATTCATGCTGTACATTATATAGAGCCACCTTGCTCTGGAACACTATAAATAATGAGACCATGTCCACAAAAAGCCTTGAGGTGTTCAAAAAACAAAACTTGTCATTTTATACTGACCTATATCTTTAGCTAAGATTGTAATATTATAAATATATATATTTTTAATTTGAAACAATTGTAAATTTTCATGACATTTTTTTTCGTTTGTTTTGTTTGTTTTTTAATGAAACAATATTTCTATAACATTTATATGTTTATGTGTGTTTACTGTCTATAAAGTTTAATGTGTTGATTTAAATTAGTTTTAGTGTTAACTAAAACTATCTTGTAAAAACCAACTTGAAACAAAGTTTTTTAATTAAAAAAAATTAAAAATTAAAAAATTAAATTATGTAAATAACAACTCAGAGGCTTTAAACATAAAAACATTTTAAAATAACAATATAATGCATTAATCAAAAAAATAATTTTGCATGTAACAAAAAAAAAATTAAATTTGATTCTATACAAATAAATAATAAAAAAGACATTTAGCTAGATAATTACCTGTATATGAGGCTGTCACTGAAAGTAGCAACATATCTTTCGTAAAAAGGAGCCTGAATGAACCAACTAAACACACACACACACACATATATATATATATATATATATATATATATATATATATATATATATATATATATATAATATATATATATATATATATATATATATATATATTTATAATAAATTAATAAATTTAAATATGTATAAATAAAAATAGAAATAAAATAAAAATTAAAAAAATATATAAATATGATATATAAAAATAGAAATAAAATAAAAATTAAAAAATATATATAAATATGCTCAAAACAGACATTAAACATTTTTATATTTTTATATAACACAAGTGAAAACGATGAGTAGCATAAATTTAAAAAATACTTAAAAACCTAAATTATTCTTTGCTAGTCAAAACAGAATTTCTGTTTAAATAATTAACAAGGGTTTTTGTTTATTAATATGTTAATATTTTTTGTTTACAGGCCTGAAATATGATAAAAATAGTTAAAAAAAGTATATATATATATATATATATATATATATATTAAATATAAAGCATAAATCAACAACTGCATGCAAACTAAATTTTTTCTTCATAATATTTTGACCTGTTTTTGCACAGATTGTCATCAGGCAAAAAATTAAAAAAAAAAAAGCCCTTACAAATATTACATTAAAATGACAAAGAAGACATTAAAAAGAAGCCATAAATGATTACATAAAGCGTGTACATGAAATAAATGTGAAAGAACAAGTCTGTCATTTTTTTTCAGTGGTTATATTAAAATCTTTTTAACTGTATTTTGTTTACAACGTGTTGTGGTTTCAAAAATATGTATTAGTTTTTTGATTTAACTTGAAATTAGTTTTAAAAATGACAAAAGAAGACGACCTAAGAGAAAAAATTATGCACAAATATTTGGAAAATCCTAATAGTAGCTACAATTTGATAGCAAAAGCGTTGCAAATACATCCATACACCATTAGTCGAGTAACCCAACGTTTTTCACAAGCAAAATTGATCAAACGTAAATCTGGTGGTGGAAGAAAGAAGGGTTTTAAGATAAAAAACTAGTTAGAAAACTGGTTAACAGTTTTAAGACTATCCCATGCCTTTCACTAAGGGAGCGCGCAAACATTTATGGACCTTCTCATAATTTTGTTGAAAAAGTTCAAAATAAACATGGTTTTCATTCTTTCAAAGCACAAAAAGTGCCCAACCGATCTGAAAAAAAGTGCAAAAACCCGCAGCAGAAAGTTTTATGACAATTTTAATTCTAAAAGTTTCTGTATTATCGAAGACAATGAAACTTATATCAAGTACGATCATCAGCAAATTCCTAGAGCCGTCTATTATATTGCCAAATGTAGAGAAAAAGCAGATAAGAAATTTAAATACATAAAACATGACAAGTTTGCTAAAAAAGTCTTGATTTGGCAAGCTATTTGCAGTTGTGGCAAAAAATCAACACCTTAAATTTCCCAGTACACACTTTCGAGTCAAATATATGCTAAAGAGTGTTTACAAAAACACCTTTTACCTGTCATTAAATCGCACAATAAGAGACCTGTGTTCTGGCCAGATTTAGCTTAAATTCATTATTACAAACTAGCTTTGGAATGGTATTAAAACATTAATGTGAAATTTGTGCCTAAAACAGAAAATACTCTGTTTTAAAACAGAAAATACTCTGTTTTAAAACAGAAAATCCTCTGTTTTAAAACAGAAAATCCTCTGTTTTAGGCACAAATTTCTCATTATTATTTTAATACCATTCTAAAAACTGCCCAGAATTAAGAGTTATTGAAAAGTTCAGGGCCATTATAAAAAAAAAAAAATGAAAAAAAAAAAAAAACTTTGCAGAAATATCAAATATATAAAGATATCATTTAAAAAAGCATCAAATGGCTTCAATTTTTATTCTGTGCACAAGCTTATGGGTACCACCAAAGCATAAGTTAGAAATTTTATTAGATTCCTACAGGAATAATTTGATTTTTTTTTATATTTGATCTTCTTATATTATTGTATTAAAGTTATTACTTGGTTGGAAACAAAAATTGAAGAGTATTTTTTTTTAGTTGTTTTTCTACTTTCACATTTATTTCGTGTACATACTTTAACAACATAAATATAAAAATAGCAAATATTATTTAAATCCATTTTTTTGGATAATTTTTTTAAACAGAGGTCTCCAACTGTTTGTAGAAATTTTAACTCCATTGTCGCAGTTGAGAAGTATAGGAGCATGTTTTATTTCCTGGTATAATGAGGCATAGTTAATTTCAAGCGATTCTCTAACTTGTATATATTTGTATAACTTAATATTATTTATTTATGTCATTATGATCAATTCTACCAAAATTTAAAAACAACAACAAGAAAATATTAGGCTATTGTTAAACAAAAATTTTAAGTAAACCAAACCAGGCAAGTACAGAAGGTCCACTGGACATCTTTAAGACAGGGTGTCTTTAAGATGTCCAGTGGACCTTGTGATATCCATAAGACATCGTATAGACATTCCACACATATTTGAGCCCGCAAGGGAGAAACTTGCTAAAAAGTGACAAAAGGATTCAACTTCAAAGTTTGAGCAAATAAATTCAAAATAATAAAAGTTTGAGTTAACCAGTGTTTTACCTACTGAGAATTAATTGTACCCTAACTATAAAATTTAGAAATAATGCATAAGGTACCAGGAGTAAAAAACAATAAATTGAAATTATCTTTACATAAGAAATATTTAATTTTTCATTTAACTTTTGAAAAAATTAAAACGAATGTAATCAAATGTTAATATTTTGTTTAGTCACAATTACAGTTACAATCAAAACAATTCTGTGCAGCATATAAATAAAAAGGTAAGATTAGATAACTAAAAAAATAAAAATTTATATTAAATCAAAAACAAATTATGGGTACTACCTAGAAATTTGAATGATAAAGATGTTAAAATGCTGCTAGGCGTAATGTTACAAAAAAAATCAAGACAGAAAATGCCAAAACAAACTTGTAAACTTGCTTCACCCTATAATTTTAACATAATTATCTTTAAAATAACCAATTAATGAATCTCCCAAAAAAAAATGCTACTTGAAAACCCACAATCAAGCCACCAATTTGTTTACAATTTATCTTTAAAAAAGTTGCAAGTTCTTTTTCTATTTTTTAAAATTTAGCTTTATTTTGTTTATATTATTTTCTAATTTCATAAAAACTTAAAATGAAAAATATTTAATTTTCAAACTTTTTTTTTTTCAAGTTTTTACTTTATTCCACTTTTCACATGTTCACTATACTCTTCTAAGATGTACATGAAGTACATGTACTCTTGATGTACATGTACTTCATGTTCACTATACTCTTCTAAGATGTACATGAAGTACATGTACTCTTGATGTACATGTACTTCATGTTCACTATACTCTTCTAAGATGTACATGTACTCTTCTAAGATTGCCAGGGTAAATTTTAGTTGGCTCTAATTTTTTTTTGTTTAGTTATTATTATTGGGTTTGGTAAAATATTTTAAAACAATTTTTTACCTAAACTAACTTTTAAGCATATTTTTTAATACATTTTCTAAAGTTGACTAAAATCAACAAATACATTTTATAAAGTTGACTA